TTAAGGGGGTGTTTAGATTTTCAAAATCGGGTGGAAAATAACGAGGATACAATCAAAAGTGGCCCGTTTTGGAAACGGGTTTCTGCCCCCTTAAAACGCGGTTTAAGGGAATAGGGTTTTTTTTTCGAGCAAAATATGTTGCAATTGGACTATTTCTCTCGATTTTCAGAGACATTTTTGCCAAAAATCCACTTTTCCCTCAAGGAAATTTTCAAAATTCAAACGCCAAACTAAAAAATTTGAATTTTCGCAGATTTTAACGCCTGAAGCATGAAAATCGGTTGGAAAAGCTTGAAGATACAAATTTTTTGGACGTTCTTTAAAGTGAAATACGGGAAAATAAGCTAATGCCAGTGGCATGGTAGCAATTTTACCCATAACTTGGCTAATAGAAATCCGATTTTGAAAATTTCAAAAGCGCTAGAAAGGTGGTTGATTAGGGAAGATTTCGGTTTAGGAAACGTTAAAATCGGTTGAAAACTCGAGAAGTTATGGAGTTAAAGGCTCCAAAAAAGCTGTTTTCTGGCGCAATTTCGAAAATTCGATAACAGTTTTCAAGGAAATCGATTCATGCTATTTCAAAGAAATGCGGAAAATGGCATGGACTTTCAAAACTTTCAACTTTCGGCCATAACTTGCGACTGCGTAGTGCGATTTTCAAAATCCAAAAAGCGTTGAAAAGCCGATTAATTTTCCAACTTTAGGGATTTTCGACCGTAGCAATAGCTGTCAAAACGCGGAAGTTATGAGGCTTTCAAAATTGGAAAAGCCGGGTTAGAAACTGCGTTTTTTCCCAAAAATTCGTGCGTAAACCACTGGAAGCAACTTCAGAGACTCAATTCCATTGAAACGAACCGGTTTTGGGCATTTTTTGGCAAAACCAAAATGCGCCATTTTGCCCATAACCTCGTTGACAATGGCCGGATTCAAAAAATTCAAAAAGCCCCCAAAAGCCGGCAAAATTGCCAACATTCCCGTGTTCGAACCGAGGAAATCTGCGCAAAACTCCCGGAGTTTTGCGCATTTGAGGCGTGAAACAGCGATGTTTGGTTGTGTCGTGGGTTTTTCCGCGATAACTCCCTTATTAGTGGGGCGAATTCAAAAATTCCAACTGCCCCGTAAAGCCCAATAAATTCTCTACAACTGGGCGGGCGCAAACCAAAACTCCTGCGAAAACCCAAGGAGAAAACGTGGAAAAACCCGTCACCCCACCACCCACTTTGTCAATGTTGCGTTTGTGCGGCGCCCCCTTGGCAGGCAGTTAAAAAGTGGGTTTTCGCAGCAGGAAACTTTCGATCAGGGAGTTTTGATGGGCTGGCGGAGTTTTTAAGTGCATCCCGTGTCGACTCGATGTCGGACTTTTAATGAGTGGAAAAGTGAAAAGTCGGGCAAAGTTGATGCAAAAATCGCGCGCGCTTCAAAGCAGTCGGCGAATCGCCGTTTCTCCATAAAAACTTCATAAAAACTCCTGCCGATTAAACCCAGTGGCGCGGCTGCCACCCGGGCCACTTTCATCGAGAGTTTTTTGCCCAAATCTCCATCAGTTTTCGCCCGATTTTTTTCGGCTTTACTGGGTTTTTTAGTGTTTTTCCTGCTCTATCCAGGGGTTTTCACCCAGTGAAAATCGGCGCAGGAATAAGGAAGTTATGGGCATTTTTCCGTTGGCAGTGGGGGCTTGCCGTCCTCAGACCAGGCGTTGCCAACTTGCCCGGAAAATGCCCGACACCCTGCCAAAAACCGCCGGAAATTCGGACGCGTTGCGAAAACTCCCCGATGCATCTAACATCGACAGCGTTGCCATTTAGTGGAGGCGTCAAGGGCCGGGAAAGATTAGGAGTGAATGGCATTTTTTGCATTTGATGGGTTTCAAACGAGGTGATTTCTCGCGTCGATTTTTCCCCATTTCTGCGATATTAAAGCGCCAAAATCAGCAGGCGACAATGCGAATGTCGGCTGGTGTCAATCGAAAAGCGATTTTGCCGCTCCTGCAGGTGTAAACTTTGCATCGATGAACGCAACGAAATAGTGCAGGAAAATTGCAGGTTTTGCGCGTTTTTCCTAAAAGTGGGGAAAAACCGACGGCAACATGGCTGGGGATCGGGGCTGGCCCTTTTTGCCTCAGGGCTTCGCCCTTTGATGTCATTTGCAGGGTTTTTTTCGGGCCCTGTTTGGGGCCTTTGAAGCTGCCAGCTGGGGCTGATTGGATCCAGGTTTCTGAATTATTTCCCGAAAAAGCGCACTGGGTGGGGATTTGACTGGCACGCCACTGGATAGCCCAGGTTGTTGGCTATAACTGAGAATTTTGTCATTTTTTTCCCAACTTCTGGGGATTTTTTACACGAATTTGAAGTGGAGCTGGCAACGCAAAGGGTCCATTTGAGTTCAGCAAAGTTTGACAATTTATGACTCAGTCACTGAGCTAACTGGAAATTTGGCAATACCGCCACTGGATCAAGGAGGCTTTTGTACATAACTGGGAATTTTTTCAAAATTTTTCCAAGTTTTGGGGATTTTTCACACGAATTTGAAGTTGGGCTGGCAACGCAAAGGGTCCATTTGAGTTCAGCAAAGTTTGACAATTTATGACTCAGACACTGAGCCAACTGGAAGTTTGGCAAAAACGCCACTGAATCAAGCAGGCTTTGGCACATAACTGGGAATTTTTTCAAAATTTTTCCAAGCTGTGGGGATTTTTAACACGAATTTGTAGTTGAGCTGGCAACGCAAAGGGTTCATTTGAGTTCAGCGAAGTTTGACAATTTATGACTCAGACACTAAGCCAACTGGAAATTTGGCAATACCGCCACTGGATCAAGGAGGCTTTTGTACATAACTGGGAATTTTAAAAAAAATTTTCCAAGTTTTGGGGATTTTTCACACGAATTTGAAGTTGAGCTGGCAACGCAAAGGGTCCATTTGATTTTAGCAAAGTTTGACAATTTATGACTCAGAGACGGAGCCAAATGGAAATTTGGCAATAACGCCACTGGATCAGGGAGGCTTTTGTACATAACTGGGAATTTTTTCAAA